GGGGGGGGGGGGGTGTAGAGAAAGAGGGGAAAGGGAGAATCAAAGGATAGAAAACAAAAAGTTGGCAGTCGGAGATAGCAACAGGACAAACTCATCTCAATGAAAGTGTTGACCGTGTGCAAAAGAAACTTAACCAGATGTCTCTCACCATGCAAGGCAAAGGCATTGGTAAGTGAACGAAAAAGGAAAAAGGCATTCTAAGTCGAAAAAAGTACTAGTTATATGGTTTAGAATTAACAATGTATACTTTTAAGAAAAGAAAGTATGGTCTATTTGGAATCTCATAATTTTTAAAACATCCGTAGCGCTAGTATCACCTTCACAATCATTAAATGTCACTAAAACCAAAGATAACAGCAACAAAAACAATAACAACAACAACGACGACGACAATAACGACAAAAATAATTTTTTAAAAACAAACAATAACAACAGGTGCAAAGACTAGAAACAACTATTATAAAACACTGAATGGGTGTAAAGAATTAGAGTCGAATGCAAAGATACAAATTTTAATACGTGCCAATGTCAAGAAGAAAACAACAATTTGAAGCAAAGATGCCTTCCTAGATTACACCAACTTTGTCTATGCCTGATAAATCCCTTACCCTATTTTGCGGGTAAAGAAGTTTTACTTTGAGAAAAGATTACAGTAATAATTCAGTCCTTCTCTATTTCAGGATAAGTCAAAATTACAAGCTTTGCCATGGGCATCGATTCTTGATCACGCTTAGGGGCCAACGATCAAAGCATGGCTGTTCTGTTTATGCGTTATCACACTTAGATCAGCTCATTAAAGTAAACCTTTGATTTGTGGTATAAAAAAGTAGACTGAACGTGTTAAAATGTTATGAACCCTCAAGATAAAATATTTTTTTCTTTCCGTCTTAGCTCGTGATGGACTTTTTCCATTTGCAAAAGCGTTTGATAATTTAGTTCCACAATTATACTTTATTTTTCGCTCTTCAAAACTATTTCTTTGTATTCTGATTGTCAAATGCCCTTTTAACACTGCTTGGTAGTTTAAAATGCAAGAGCTCCTAGTTTGTCTTCTATATTATCCACACCTGACCTTTAAGAACAAGTCTTCAAGAAAGTTCCATATAGGACTTGAACTTGTGTATTGCAGATCATTGTGATTTTTCATTTAAGCTACCGGTGCGTTCTATCCTTTTGTGGCAAGTAGCCTAGTTTATCCATGTCCGTTCCTATCAAATGAAACTTTTCTGTTAAAGTAGACAGAATAGAATAATCAAATATCAGTATTTCAATGTTGCAATAAGAGAGAACTAATAAATTTTAGAAAAGAAAAACAAATATTGTAAAAAAAAACAACAACACGAGTCTGCATGCCTGTTTGTTGTTGTTGAGGACATTATTTACGACGCCACCCTAACCAAACTTGTTTTCGTTGTTGTTGGCACATTTGCTTCTGTCCCTGTGTTAGAGTATCACAACCCGACCCACAATAGGTTTACGCCTCTGTATTGTTTTGTTATTGGTTCTCCACCCCTTCTCCTACGGCATCTGTGATGTTGTGGTAAGGCATTCCGCTGTGGTCGCGCATGAGATCCGAGGTCGGTTCCCAGTAGGGACAAATTTGTATGGAGTATATCGGTCTTTTTACTGGGATGCTGTATCCCTCTAAGATCAGCTTGGCCTTTACAAGCAGAGTCTGGAGCCTGCCTCCTAAATGATGTAAATTGTGTGGATGGGCCCGTAAAAACATCTACGTGTTTTTACAAAAATCACTCTACTGCTTGTAGAGCCCATAGGCAGAAAAATCTCCGCCCCTCCCCTCCCTCTGCCATTACAAAAAATGAACCACCAAACCCCAAAGGACACTCGAAAACACACACAATGAAGCCAGAAGTAAGAAAGATATCCCTAACACTAGATATTCACACAATACAGTTTAGGTGGAAACCACTCACTTGTTATTGCCCTGTCCACTGAACGTTCTCGAGGTCGGCGACTTGCTGAGGTCCCGGGAGGACCGCCAGTCGTGGTGCCGAGGGGAGCACGGACCTCCGATGTCACAACCACCGACAGAGTCGTTGTCCGAGTCGATATCCGTCGGGGGCGGGGGCAGAAACACCACCTGGTTGGAAGCGTCGTCCATCTCGTCCGTTATCGTGTACGTCACTTCCTCCGAGAGTCCAATTTTCGATTTGAGGCAGGTGTCACTGCTGTCGCTAGGCAACGGCCCGTGTGGGTACAGACGAGGGCATTGGATCGTTTTAGAGTGCAGGTGTTGGGAGACCTTGAGAGGTTCCCTAACGTACTCATTCCCGGAGTGAGGGGCGGGTACTGGTGGCTTGCCGCTCCCTCTAAAGAAGACACTATTGACGCTAGAACCGCCACTGCTGATGCTGCTATCTCCGCTGCTGTGGTTACTGCGTTTGCCATAACTCCCTGTGTCTCCCACGACGCTTCGTATGGTGGCGTTGTTATTGTTGCTGCCACCGTTGTTGCTGGTGTAGTTGTGTGGTTTTCCATTTGGGAGCGTGGCACAGCCATTGTCTCTAATGTTCGTGGCCAGAGGGGACAGGGGGCTCAGTGTATCCATGGACAGCTTGGAGCCCGATTGTGTGTCCATGGCAAGCTTTGAAGTAGAGTGAAACGGAAATTTGCTCTCCGTGAAGTCGTGAGGAGAAGGGGTTAGAATGTCCGCCATCTCTCTCACCATTCGGGGACTGTGATTTCCTTGTGATCAAGATTTAACGAAATTATTATCTGTGGACGGAAAAAGAGGACAGAAAGAATAAATAACACTCAATAAATAAATTACACACTGAAGGGATTCTATCAGTTAAGATGTCGTCGCACGCTGGACCTCTTTTAAAGTACATTTTCCTTTTGTTGCTTGGCATATATGAGAAAGTCCGTACAGAGTGAAAGGGGAATGTAAAATAACTTATTTCTAGTTAAGTATCCCCTTTCTTAACCGAGCCGGAGTGACAGTAATGTCATCTTGCTTGACACTATTCTTTTATTTGGCTTACGGCCGTCATTGAGTTCGTTATGAACACGAAATGGGCACGAATTGGCTTAATAATTAATAACTTTCTTTATTCATCTAGTTGGAGATAGGAGTATAATGAAACACCCATGGCTCTTTCAGATAAATGAGTAAAAAGATAAATGACTGCATGAACTAAACGTGAGTACATAATGGTTTAAAAATGATGAAAAAAGAAAGAAGAAAAAGAAAGAAAGAAAGAAGAAAAGAAAGAAAATTACAAGAACGTTAATAAAAAAGGCCAGGAAACACGCCGAGGCTGCTATCATTAGGGCTTATCTTAATCTAGCGTGTCGCACATTTCGGTGTATATAGTTGAGGGGAACGTTGATAAACCACGACCGCAATGGTCATATTCTATTTCCCACAAGGGACCACTTTGTTGGTAGGTCTTATCCATATTTGATAATTATGTCTATAAATCAAATATTGCTTTGGATTAATCGCAAGACTTTTTATTCAGCGTCTTTTCTGTATGCTTGCAATTCTTTTCGATTTCGTTTTCGATTTTTCCTTTTGCACTAAGATTTCTTTCTCCTGCCTTTCCTTTCCCTACCAGCCCCATCCAATGTAAGAATGTGTGTGGTGGGGTAAGAAGTCTGATTACAAACTGAAACCCTATTTTTGTTGTTTTTTTCGGAGTTGTTTACTGTGTGAGTAACATCTCTCCATCACGAAATGACACCACATTGCCTTATCGGCTCTCATAATATTTTTTCGATACCAGCGTGCCTGTTGAACTCCAAGCTTTCTTTTATTGGTCGCCTGCTATTGACATTCTGTTGCACCACTTCGAGAGCGTCAGTATTTTTGCCTTCCCATTCAGTAAGCTGTGAGCATTGATCCAAACCGGTGCGTTTTTCTCTCAGACTGTCTGTCTTCCACGCAACCTTTTTGCTTTTTGTCCATGCCTCTGTCTTCTGAGTTTCTCTCTCTCTCTATCACCTCCCTTTCTCTCTCTCTCTCTATCTCTCTTTCTCTCTCTCTCTCTCTGTCTCACACACAAACACACACTCTCTCTCTCTCACTTTATCTCTCTCTATATATATCTCTTTCTCACACACACACAGGCACACACACATACACCAACACACACACACTCTCTCTCCCTCACGGCCTCTATCTCATACACATAACACACACACACACAGACACACAGACATACAGACATACACACACATACACACACACACACACACACACACT